AACATTTTCAACTCCAAAAAAAGTTTTAAAAATTACGACACGCGTAATTAGTGTCGAAAAGTAGGAAACCACAAAATGGAGCATTTTTCAACGGAGTGTCGAAAGTACTCTGGGATTGCTTTAGTTTTACCTAGCTTCGTTTTGTGATTGGTCTAGAAAACTCACGCCATCCTCTCGACCAATCAGATGCAAAAACAATTACGACCTGGTCCCTCACGATTTCCCGCGCTTCAAGCAGTCTTGTTTTCGCTCTGAGCCTTCAGTGGCTAAAGATGATGTAAACCTTTATTCTGATTGGTCGCTAAAATTTCCTTTGGTTTTGGTTTTTCGACACTCAATTGGAAACTTCTTCATAAGTTCGATTATACAAAAAGACGGAAATCAAAAGAATTACTTAAAGGGACGGGACAGGGAAGAATGAAAAAGAAAAGCAAAGAAATACCGCTACTTACTCTCAAAACAACAACTTTACTTGGGTTCCTCATAACGCTGGTAACTGGTTCTGCTTCTTGCAGCGCAGCTTTTGATTCTGTTGATCAGAAAGGTATTTTCTCTTTAGCTAAACATTTCCATATCCTTAATGTTTTTATTTTTTTTTTTTAATTTGGGAAAATTAATCGATATGACATAAAATAAAATACAAACCTTTGTCTTGGTTGATTATTTTTCCGCCTCGCTTGCTGGTTTTCTCCACTTGCAAACATGTGTTGATACCTTGCTCTTGCTTTCCTAAACCTGAAAATCAAAAAAAAAAAATGGACCTATCAATTTTCTACTTCAAAACGACTCTCAAATTTGAGTATATTGAAACATAATTTCTTTTTTTTCTACCCTACAGAATTAAACAATTTTTTTTTTTAAGATTTACAAATTTTTCCATTTAAACTATCCTAAAAACTGCATGTTTTATCTGGTAAGAAAGTATCTACAGACAACTTTCTTGCTGTTTGGCCGTCTATTAAAATTGCGAAGACAATTTCACTATTGATAACTAACAAATCTTACTAAATGCAAAGGGTTTAAAACTCATCGCTTTGTTTTCCAAATATTATTCTTTTCATCTCATTTCTAGGAGTTGTATGATGTGACAGTAGAGTTCATGCTAACGGTGAAAATATTTCGATAAAAACAAAAAGCAAACAAAACAAAAATACAAAGATGTTACCTTGACCATCTTTCCAACCATATTTTGCCATAATCTGAGATGCAACAGGACTGTAAAACAAGATTGCACAATGTTACATTTCACTTCACAGTGCAGCCATACATTCCTTCTCAGCCAAAATATTTAAATAAAATATCGTTCATTCTATTCTGGCAGCTACATCTGCTAAGGCTGGGAAACCTGGAAATGGTGCAAAAGGTGCAGCCACCCTTTTTGTTGTCTTTAACTTATCATAAATTTAAAACTTTAAATACAGTTATTGTCATTACTAAGTGGTGTCCAATCTAGTATGTAATCTTTAATAAACAAAATCAGATGTGCATGAAGGAGACATCTGATTCGTCAATTAGTCACCTGTATGATTACAGAGAAAATTTGAAAACAACGTTCACATATGAATTGATCAACACTATGACCACATTTGAGAAGTAAAACACCAAATGGTTAAACATCTTCCTGAATTGACTTTTTTTCACAGTATTTTCCTTTTCAGGTGGTAACTGCTAACATTTATTGCCTGTGGTACCTTCTACTACTGCCTAAAACTGCTTAGAATTCTTGAGAATTCAATGGATAAAACGATTGCTAGATACTGGTTTAAAAATATCTGTCAACTGTAGTTCTTGAAAAAATAATGGATCCGAAGAAAAAAAATTTGGGAGAAAACTTTTTTCTATGCAAACATGAAACCAATCATCTTCATGAATATAACTATAAAATAATAAAAAATAAAGTCTGTTTACAAGCCTAGTGGTCCATTAGGCCAGTGCTTAACTCCGCTTTCTGTAGCATGAAGCGACTAGGAGTATTTCTACTCCCCCCTGGATGGGATGCTAGTCCATCGCAGGGTTACCCCCCAGCATTAAATTGCCGGTACCCACTGATACACCTGAGTGAAGAGAGGCCCTGTGAGAGTAAAGTGTCTTGCCTAAGAACACAACACAATGTCCCAGCTGGGGCTAGAACCCGGACCACTCGATCCAGAGTCAAGCGCAATAACCAGGAGGCCACCGTGCCTCTACCAAATATAACTGCTGGTGCTGATTTAATAATACATCAAGTAACACACACATGGAACACAAACTGTCCTCTTACATTGTTGTATTACAGTCATGATGTGTACACTGTCCTGTCAATGTTCAAAATGGGCTATTTTTGAACATGTGCATTTAAAAATTGTGCAAACACTTTTAAGTAATATCATTTATGGGAAATAAATTGAAATAAAAGAGAAGTTTTCCATGAAGTGGTCACTTTTTTGTAGAGGATAAATTTGCTGCAATCTCACCTGGCAGAAAAGCCTCCGCCTTTTGGTTTATTTTCAGTAGGAAAATTAAAGTCTGCTCCACTGGACACTGGCCACTGTTGAGCAGCTTGTTCCGCTGCGTGAATAAAAAAAAGGATTTTTAGAAGGCCCCTCTTGGTAGGAAATGTAAACTACACAAATGTTATAGATAGCAAAATGTCAACCAAAATAAATTCCCTTGAGTTGGTTATTCTTAGTAAAGTCAAACCTACTGTACATTAAGCAGCACCATATTTAGCAGTCACCTTATATTGAACAGTTGGTTGTCAAAGTCCGTGAATTGTTTCTCATAAGTTACTGTCATTCTCACCTCTACAAAGCAGTCACCTTTATTGAGCGGTTGCGGTCACCCTTAAACTGAGTCCAAATGGCCTGTTTTTTTGTTTTTTTTTGTTTATTTCCACCTGTATTGAATGGTCACTGAAAGTGCAACCACTCAAATAAAACTAAGAATAATCTTTCTTGTAATTTTTAATCCATGTCTTTCTTCCAAAATCAGAGTAAATAGTATTTTTGAACAAGATTCTGTACATTAAGTGGTCAAGTATGGCATAAGGTGACATTGTGTATCACTTTTTCAAATACTTCTTATCTCTGGAACCTACGTTTAGCAGCCAACCTGTACAAGTGGTCATCCGGCAATTCCCCATGGCTGACTGCTAAATATAGGACTGCATGTAAATTTTTTAGTTGCAAAAGTTTTGACACTACAGGGGAAAGATTTCCCTCTGCTGTATAAACAGTAAAGTGAGAGGATGCACGGAAAATAATTCATAAAAACAGATTCAAATTACAGGTATTTATAAATTTCTATTCCCCTGTCATTTAAGCCTGGAATCATTAAAGTGCAACTCTGGCTTTTCACTGGATACCATAACTATTTCACACAACTTTTTCTTATTCCCTTGATATTCTAGATTTAATTACCAGAGGCTGAATCCTGCATAAGAGAGGGAGGTGGTGCAATGGCTGCTCCCCCTGGAAATCCTCGGCGTGGAGGCTGACCGCCATGGCTTTCGTCATCATCACCCCTCCGTCTTCCTCTGTCTCTTCCCCTGTCTCTATGGTAATCTCGATCCCGGTCTCTGTCCCGATCTCTGTCACGATCTCTGTCACGGTCTCTATCGCGGTCCCTGTCACGGTCTCTCTCCCGATCATAGTCTCTGTCACGTTCCCGATCCCTGTGTCTTTAAAGCAAAATTGCACATTAGTTAGTTCTTCACTCAAAATGATTTTAAAAAGGATGGATTTGTTCATTCTTTTGTAGAAGAAAAAATAACCACAGTCCTTGAAAAACAATTCAAACTGGTTTGAAATAATTTTAAAGTGCACCTTACCCCTAAATTTTTTTTTCCTTTAAAAAAATCTCCATGCTTTGGTGAGTATCTCTT